AAACAAAAAAAAAGTTCCTGAACTCATAATGCTTACATTCCAGTAGGGTAAAAAGATGACAAACCACATAACTTCAGATAATAATTTCTATAAGGAAAATTAAATGACCATATAATAACGTAAGAAGATTAGAAGAAAATAAAACAAACTTTATTAAAATGGAAATAAAGCCTGTCTCATAGGATACATGTGAGATTAAATGAGACAATGTATATAAAATGCCTAATAAGTTATTTTCCTCACTAATATTACTATCTACTATTACCACAAATAATAGAATAAACTTCATATCCTAGGAATCATTCAATGAACAAACAAGCATTTACTGAGAGCTCTGTTTTGACTCTCACCACTAGGTGATCAATGAAGATGTGTGTGTGTAAAGGATGCAAACATGTAATTAAAATATGATGGGTAAAATTAATATGGTTCAGTAAAAATTATCATAACCATCCTCCAGTTAGAATCAACTCAAATAATTTAGTTCTGCAAAACATACTAATGATGCCCACAACATTTTAGAAGCTCTTGGCTTTAATAAGCCTCATCAGTCAGCTAGTTCCTGCTTAATTGTTTCCGCCACTTACTACATTTTAAAAATTTAGCTGTTTATATCCAAACCAGTTCATGACAGTTAAACTTAATGTAATTCTATAGCATAATTAAATATTATAAGCCAAAGAAATTTGAGTGCAAAAAAATAGATTTCTTTCTATGAAACAAAGTTGGATGCTTTGAAAAGACTCCATCAAAGTAAATAGCTCTGAAAAATTTTTGTCATAGTAAATATGGGGACTTAATTTAAAATATTATGAGGACAATAATAAAAACCTAAAAGACTTGTACACTGTAGCTATTATAGGAGACTCTCTATATTCCTACCCCATATTAAAGAAAGCAAAACTGTAAATGTTTATTAAACATGGCAAGGAATTTCAATGAAGGGATCCCTATCAAGAAAAGGCCCTGTTCGATATCAACATGTACATTTATAAAATTTAAGTTTAATGAAAGCAGTTATTTTTTTTTAATTAGCAGAGTGTCTCCCAAACATATATATCTGTCTCCAAACTCCACAGTCTAGCATTCAAGGCACCTTTCTAGCTCTTACCTTTCAAAGATGACCTTTTGTAAAACATATAGTTCATTGAAACCTGATTATTATCTATTTCCCATACACAGCTGTACTTTGCAGACTTCAAAATCTCATAGATCTGTGTCTTAAAGAATGAGCGGAAGTTGTCTTATGAACGAGGGGAGATACATGATGCCATCTACTTTTCTGCGGAAAAATGCAGAAGAGTAAGTGGTAACAGTGATGGTGGTGGAGACAGGAGGTAGTACGCAGGAGGAAGATGATGAGTTCAGTTTTGAGTTTTACCAATTGTGGAACACCCAATACATGTGCCTTGTAGATTACTGGAAATATGGATCTTTACTTTAGAAGTGAAGTCTCAAGATACGTGCCATGAAATCTGGGACCCTACTTGTCTTGTTCAGCATTGCATCCCCAAGAACTAGAACAGTGCCTGGTGCAAAGTACTCACATATATGTTTAATTAAACTGTTATTTATCACACAAGCTGATTTAAAGCTGGGTATGGAAGAGACAGTCCACAAAAGTCATTTAACCTTTCTATAGGTATCTTCAAAGCTGATGAGGTTCTTTGCACCATCTTTTCACAGAAACATGCACATGTTTATACACAGTCAATTCTGCAAGTCATGGAGTTCACAGACCACGTAACACTTATACTTGCATCAATCAAAAGTCTATTGAGTTCAGGTTTAATAACAACTGATAACAGATTAAGAAGAGGGGCTAAGGAAAGAACCACTGAAGATACCAAAAAATAAGGAGTAAATTAATGTAGAGAACTCAACAAAGAAAAGGTCTGAAAAGATCTAGAAGAATGTTATCAAGAAATCAAAGAATTGTCTATAGAGGGAGTGTGATCTACAGTAGCAAAGGTAGTACAGATGTACAAATATCTGTATGTTAAAGTTGGCATTAAGACCCCTAGAAACCTTAGAGTCATAGGGCATGAAAATCAAATTGTGGTTGCTTGAACACAAAATTCTCTCAAACATTTCTCATACATTTTTTTCCAACAAGTACTCATTTAATGCCTACTATATGCCAGGCATTGTTCTAGGCATCCTATCCATGTCCTGCCCAAATACCATATTCTCAAGAAATTTGATGATACTCTCTTTATAACTTTAAATTCCCTTTCCCACCTCCAAACTCTTAAGTAATAACTCCTCTATGTAATAAGCATCAAGAACTTTCAACTGCTCTCTTTATTACTCTAAATTCTCTTTTCCACCACCAAACTCTTAAGTAACAATTCCCCTATGTAATAAGCATCAATAACTTTCAACTGGTTGAATAAATAAACTATATACTCTAGTATTTTTTTATAGAGGCTAATAGAAACTTGGAGGTGTTAAAGTTACCATATAGCTCTTTTGTAAACAGGTGATAAACTTTTCTATCTCAAGAATTACAGTATTCTTTGAACCAATTCATAATACTGTTCAGAGGAATTCCTAAGGACACAGCTCTGACAATTCCACTCATAAAAATCAACAAAACATTGTCTCTGAGAATCCTCCCATCACCCTCCTACATCCTAAAAATCAGTTATCTTAAGTCTCTGACATAAAAATCTAGAATATTCTATCTTTAAAGATATTTAAAATAGAATTTTAATTCTGGAAAGAGCTAAATCTTCATTCTACTAGTGAGCAACGCATATCCTATTAGATGAGATGTCTAAATTCATCTAGGATACTAAAGAAATAATCCTAATACTAGAAATATGACTTGCAGCTATAATTTTTTTGGCAATTTCTTAGTGATTATTATTAATCCCATTAACAATTCATGTAGTCAACAAATAATTACTGAGTTCTCTCCTCCCCCATGTGTCAGGTTCTAAGTGATGTGACAGTGAAAATTCAGGCCTGGTCCCTTTCATTCCAGGAGAGACAAAATTTTCAAACATAACACAATTGGGTAAGTGCTTCAATAGTATGAGAACACATAACTGAAAAACCACGGGTAAGTTTTGTTGCTTGTTTGATTTTGTTGTTTAAGGATTTTTTTCTTTTTTCTTTTTTTTTCAATTTTGTTGGGGGATGGGTGGAGGGGTACAGTAGTCAATGAAGACTTTTTTGCAGTACTTAACCATTATTGAAGGGAATTATGGAAATGATCAAGTTTAATGGGAGCAATAGTGAAGCAAGGAGAGAGGACACAGCTAGTGGCGCGAATAACATTTGCCCAGTTTTAAGAAGCAGGGCAATTTAGGGAATTCAACCAAGGCCAGCACAGCCAGCTCAGAGAGTCATGGGAAGAACAGCTCAAGATAACGCTGGAGAAATGGGCAAAAGCCAGATTACAGAGGAGGAACAGAAACATATCAGTATTAACTTATGATAACACATCCTTTTATATGTACTTAGTTTACAAAGTATTTTAGCATGTTTTCTCTTTTGTTCCTCAAAAAATGTGTGAAGTAGTCATTATTTATTATTCCAAATATAATTGCTTCAGACCTCTTTAGAATGCCCTCAGCACACTTTGTGTTTGCTGGCACTTACACTTACTCATCCTTCAAGATTCTATAGTATATACGATACTATCATCTAAGAAAGCTATACTGAGCAAAACTTCATAAAAGCGTTTTCTAAATCTTATGAAACATTTAAAACTCTTTGGAGTTTTTGTAAAGCATTAAAAATAGCCACTTATCTACTATTAAGCTTAATGAATTAACCCTGACGCAAGCCTTTTAAAACTATGTTGTCAGACTGCAAACTCCTTGAAGTAAAAGACTGTGTACTACATAACTTGATATAAGAGCTGCACTAAGCGTTTAAAACTTTTGTTTAATATAATACATTCCCCCAATACAGGTAAAAATACTGAGGTTCACAGTGTGCCAGAGGCTGCAAATCGAACAAATCACTGAACTCGGTCCAAGAATAAAGGAATTTTGCTTTTTCTCTAATGTGTTTGCAACTTTTTAAGACCTGAGAAATTTATTCACGATCAAACAGTAAATTTAACTTTCAGTCCACACGTTTTCAGGCCATTATTAAGACATCCCAGGAAGGCATTCACTAAGCAAATTAGCTACTGAATTCTACAGTACTATGCTAAATGCAGGGAACATGAATTCCAATTACACAAATTCCATGTCTTAACGAAACGGAAGCAGGCCTCCCACTAAGGTTTTAAGAGGAGGGAAAAAAAATATAACGCTGCTTCCAGGTTTAAAGAACGCACTCCATTCAAGATCAACCAAGGATGGGGAAATAAGTTCATCACACATGAGTACATGCCCCAGAGTTAACCAGTTATTCCTCTTCTGAAAATAAATTACTGGTAGTCTTACTACTTAAAAAAGTTGTAAAGCATGCATAAATGTGTTTTGGAAGGGGGTGGGACAGAAAATAGACAAAAAAGGAAAGAAACTGAAAACTTGGGTTTAAAGAGAGAACGACTTGTAAAGTGGCATGTAAGACAAATCAGATTTGCTCATGGATCTTCTTTCTACACAGCCTCTCTGCACAGCTCAGTAACCTTACACAACACACTTTGTGTAAGGCCTTACAGGCCCTGTATGTCTTGGCTCCAAAGAAGCTTCAGCAACCACTATCCCGCCTCTTGTGCGCCGCCCAATAACCACAGGAAGAGTGTGACATCCCCAGTCCCAGGTTCCTCCCGCCTTGTAAAATGGAAGCTGCTCCAGGCCGCTGGACTGGAGCGGCGACCGGTCCAGTCCACCACGAGCAGGCGGGGAACGCGGCGGAGGACACGGCCGGGCCAAGGAAGGGGTCAGCCTCAACCTCCACCTCACTTGGCCCACCCAGCGAGAGCCCCGGTGCCAAAGAGAGACCGAAGAACCCAGCTCTCCGAGAGCAGCCGGTACTTCCGAACCGCCTCCCAGGGCTTTGGGTCTCCCTGCAGCAGCCCCACCCGAAGTTACCTTCCCAAGTGACATCGTAAAGCTCTGAGACCTTCGCCATCTTCCCAGAACCTAGAGACAGCGGGGTGAGAGGGCGGGGCGACGCCGTCACGTGACCTGCGGCCGGACAGTGGCGATTTACGACGCTCTTTCTCATTGGCGGAGAGAGCGGAGGGGGCGGTACCTGCCACGCACGTGCGCGCGGCTCTGCGGAGGGGCTTTCGCGGAAGCGGGCGGGAGGGGGGATGCGCCGCGACCGCGAGTCGGCTGAGCCTCTGGCGGTCGGTGGGGCCGCGCAGCTAACGTAGGGTGAGGTGATTTTTTTGTTTTGTTTTTGACCGTGCATTTCTAACAACGCTGAGTGTTTCGTGTCCGCCAATCCCGGTTTTTCATTTTTTTTCTACATAGGTGCATTTATTCTCACGCTCCCCAATCAGTCCCTTGTTCTCTTCATGACCTGCGGCAACGCACCTTTTCCATCTCGTATTGTCCTAACTTTCCTCCTTCCCTAATGAGTTGCTTTCCATTACTTTTTGTCATTATTATCTTTAATTTTTTGAGGTGTGCCCAAGCTGGAATGCAGTGGCATGATCACGGCTCACCACAGCCTCGACCTCCTGGGCTCTGTCGATCCTTGCACCTCAGCTTCCTGAGTAGCTGGGCCTACAGGCTCGCGCCACCATGCACAGCTGATTATTATTGTTGTTATCATTATTTATTTATTTATTTATTCATTCATTCATTCGTTATTCATTTTGTAGAGAGGAGGCCTCGCCGTGTTGCCTAGGCTGGTCTCAAACAATTAGTCTTAAGGGATCCCGCCTTGACCTCCCAAAATGCTGGGATTACAGGCGTGAGCCACCATTCCCGGGCCTCCGTTTACTTTTTTTTTTAAAGAGAAATGTGGGGTTCAAGTAGGGGTTAACTACACAAGTAGGCTGCATGCAGATGAAGTTTGGGACTCCAACTGGCCCTCACTTGCCGCGATTGGTACCACATACCCTTTTTGTTGTTTTATGCATCCCCTCCCTTCCTCTCCTGGCAGTGCCCAGCGAGTGCCAAGCCCTCCCTTGTGCTAATGTATTAATGTTCAGGTCCCACTTATGAATGAAAACATGACTCTATTTACTTTTTTTTTTTTTTTTTTTTGAGTTGGAGTCTCACTCTGTCGCCCAGGCTGGAGGGTTTGGCACACTCACGGCTACCCCAGCGTCGACCTGCTGGGCTCTGGTGATCCTTCCACCTCAGCCTTCCAAGTAGCTGGAACTACAGTCGCACGACCATGCCCCGCCTATTTTTTATTGTTATTATTATTACTGTAGAGACGAGGTCTCGCCAAGTTGCACGGGCTGGTCTCGAACCGGCGGGCTCCGGCAATCCACTCTCCTTGGCATCCTGAAGTACTGGGATTACAGGCTGAGCCACCAAGCCTGACCTCCATTTACTTTTTTAATGTTCTGCTAAACTGGTAAACGCTAGAGTTTTTTGTTCATTCTCCTTGAGAGACTAAATGGGAGTCTTCCTCTGCGCTTTATGACCCTGTGGCCGAGGATTCTGTAAAGCTTACGTGAATGTCCTTGCGCCAACTGCATCCTAGCCAGGGCTGCTCATGCATGTAATTACCTCATCCCCGTCTGCCTGCCGCACTAGGCCCATAAGAGCAGCCAGTGTGTAGGTGCTTATCAATAATTCACGTACGAGTGAGATTTTCACAGTCCTGAAACTTCACTCCTCCTCTTTGCTCCTAGGTTGGGGGAGGGTTGGGGGGAGGGAGGCAGGCTCCTTCCCCATCCTTTCCTACCAGACTAATTGCTTTCAGGAACATTTTTGGACTTAGTCTCCCACAGGAGGAGAAATGTCTGGGCTACAAGCAAAACCTTTCAGAGTCGCAAGCGTGCATTTATTATTGGAAGCAATGAGAACATGAGATTGTAGAGAGGAGATGGGGAAAGGCTAAAAATCATTGCGGTATAGCCATAGGTAAGTGTCAGGGAAGAAGAGGCCATCAGTATTTGAAAAAGGAGACAAAAGAGTCATATCCCACAAGCCAAGAGAGAGTGAATTTTGTGGATTTACAAAAATTTTTCCTAGGTTTATTGAGATAATTGGCAAATACTTAAGTATAGAAAAATGTATATATGTATTTAAGGTATACAAAGTGATGACGATATAAATATACATTGTGAAATGACTACCACAATCAAGCTAATTAACACATCCATCACCTTACATAGTTACTGTTTGTATAGGTGTGTGGTAAGAACGCTTAAAGCCTACTCTTTTAGCAAATTTCAAGTGTCCAGTACAGAATTATTAACTATAGTCATCATGCTGTACATTAGACCTCCAGAATGTATTCATCTTATAACCAAAGTTGGTACCTTCAAGCAACATCTCCCCATTCCCACCTACCAGCCACTAGCCTCCTCAGATTTTATTTTTTGCTAAAGAAAAAACTATCAATGCCACCTGCTACAGAGAAGTCATATAAGGACAGAAAATACTAGAGAATTTAAACACTTGGATTAGATTCTGATTGAGCTTATTCTCTCCAGACTAAACAGACTTTTAAAAAAACATCTTCATTCAAAAAATGTTAAAGTGTTCCACTCAGAAATCCACATATTCTAACACTCCAGTAAAACAACTGGTGCAACGAGTCGAACAAGAATGCTCTGATTTGAATCCAGGCTCTACCTTTTAGTAGCTGGGTGACTTTCAGCATGTATGTATCTCTGAGCATTAAGAGATACTAATATATAAAAAGCTAATACTAGCCATATAAAAATAAAATGCCTTGAGTTGTTATCAAGACCAAAAGAGATATTGCAACGAAAGCATGTCCATGGCACTTTCATGGAGGTACCAGTCTCCTTAGAACCCAGTTCTGCTGGCTCAACATATTTACTTAGATGACTAGCAAATATTAATCTTGAAGTTAACATATCCAAAATAGAGCCCTGGAATCCTGTTATCATCTCCTCTAATCTCACCTTGTTCTTCCCCATCATAGTTGATAAAATCGAACACCTGGTTGCACAAGCTAAAATTATAGAAAGTATCCTTGATTCTCTTCTTTGCCATAACCCCCATATCCAGTATGTCAGCAAATTTTATGTTGTACTTCCCAAAATCCATCTGCTTCTTTTCATCTCCATTGCTACTACCGTAATCTTGTTTTTATTTTTATTTTTCTTAATGCTACCTCATTTGTCAAACTACCTTAATCTAAGCACAGCCATCTCTCCTCAGCGATGGTAAAAGTCTCCTTAATCACCTTTGTTTCATTCTTGCTGTGTAAAATCTGTTTAATACACATAGCCCTACTGGTCTTAAAAAAAAAAAAATTAGACCTCAGAACTCCAGAAGTCTCTTGCTTAAAGGCTTCACATGGCTCCCCCATGGTAATAAAAATATACTCCAAAAACTTCACCATGGTTTACAAGGCTTTACTCAACCCAGTAGCTTCCGTGTACTTCTCTTTCTTCACCTTCGGCCATTCTAGCTCTTCTCACTAGCCCCCAACCATTCTCACCTACTTTCTGTTCCTCAATCATGCCAAGGAATGAGGAATCTATCTGCCTTGCCCAGCTGTTCTCTTTTCCTGGAATGTTCCACTCCACTTCTTTAAGTAACTTGTCTTCCTTTTGTTATGCATATCTCAGTTTTAAATTTCTCTACTCATAGAAAGGCCTTTACCGACCATCAATAAAAAAGCAGCCCAGCTAGATGCAGGCATTCACACCTGTAATCCCAGCACTTTGGTAGGCCAGCGTGAGAGGATCACATAAGGCCAGGAGTTCCAAACCAGCCTGGGCAACACAGAGAGACCCTTTCTCTGAAAAAAATTTTTAAAAATCTTAAAAATTAGCTGGGCATGGTGGCATGCACCTGAAGTCCTAGCCAATGGGGAGGATTAGGTGAAAGGAGTTTGAGGATACAGTGAACTATGATAGTGCCACTGCACTCCAGCCTAAGTGAGACTGAGACTCGCTAAGAAAAGCAAAACAATAACAAAAATAAACGTAATAAAAAACTCCACAGAAGTATCTTCTAGTTAATGCCTCACATGATCATGACATTTATCACTGTTTGATTTTTTGTTTATTTATTTTCTTTCTTTGTGTTTTTCATCACTATATAAGCTATTTGAAAGTACAGACTTTGTCATTTTAACCTTGGAACATCCAGCCTAGAAAACTGCCTATAGAGTAAATGTTTGTTAAATAAATGAAGTAAGTCTATTTTTTTTAAAAGACAGCATGTATTAGTTATTAATTATTAAGGATAACATTTCTTAATAGTACACATATGAACTCTATTGTTAAGGATAGGATGTTTTTCTTGTTATAGCCAATTCTTTCCTAAGAATTATAAATTTAATGGCCAATTCCTTTTTTTTTTTTTTTTTTTTTTTAGTTGGAGTCTCACTCTGTCGCCCAGACTGGAGTGCAGCGGCCGCTCCCGGTCACCGCAGCCTCGACCTGCTGGGCTCCGGCGATCCTTCCACCTCAGCCTTCCAGGTAGCCAGAATTACAGGCGCGTACTACCACGCCCGGCTGGTTTTTTGATTTATTGTAGAGATGAGGTCTTGCTGCCCAGGCGGGTCTCGAACCCGCGGGCTCAGGCAATCCACTCACCTCAGCCTCCCAAAGGCGTGGGATTACAGGCTGAGCCACCGAGCCCGGCTGCCAATTCCTTTTTATGTCCCCTAACCCCTTGCTTCAATATGTTTTCTACAAGAGGCACTTAATATTTGCACTAAATTGTTGATGCTTAACCTTTTGTTGGTTTCCCTTTGAGGGGGCTAAATCCTCTAGGAAAGCTCAAGGAGGTGTCTTAAACAGGGGTCCTCAACCCCCAAGGCGATGCCAGGGACTAGTACCAATTAGTGGCCTGTTAGGAATCAGGATCCACAGCAGGAGGGGAGCAAAGGGCAAGTAAGTGAAGCTCATCTGTAATTATAGCCACTCCACATCACCGACTGAGCTCCGGCTTCTGTCAGATCAGTGGAGGCATTAGATTCTCGTAGGAGAGTGAACTGCACATGTGAGGGATCTAGGCTGCTTGCTTCTTTTGAAAATCTGATGCCTGATGATACAGGATGGTACTGAGGCAGTGATGCAAGTGC